CTAAAAAAAAATTTTGTTTCAAATCCGTTGCGTCGATTAGAAAATCCAATTTATTAACGTGACGCTGTGACACTTTTTTTTCTCACAAAGGTTGAGGTTTTCAATGATTTCAATAATTATTGGAAGAAACATTCTTTAGTCCTAAAAGAGCGAAATTACTCCGTTTCTCTACTCGAAGGTAGTTTCTTGAACCTTAGGGCTCCTCTAACCAATGGCTGAGCCATCTTTTTCTTCCACCTAAGACACTTGAAGTATAATGATGATAGCCGCTCTATGAGCTTTCTTCTTCAACGATGGAGGCGCTTAGCCACTAGTATTTGAGAACACCCTATCTCAAATACTAGCGTTTCTATAGCTCGGGACGAAGACCCTGCCTCCTGGAACTGGGTAATGTTTTTTTCGTACATTTTTCTTCTCTTTTCAGTGGCCTAATCGTCAACAACCCTGGCCAAGGGAACATTTTCTTTTTTGCCTTTTATCGGCTTTCAACATTAAAAACACACTCACACTACATATATTTACAAACAGCCGCTGCAGTGAAAACAAAATATATCGATAATAAAAAAAATTTCTTTAGACATACTTAATTATTTTCTTTGTTGAACTAAACGAATAATATCTATATTCAAGAGTTTTATTATTAATTACTTTTACAGAATGTGTTTTGAGTGTTTCTGGTACAAATTTAGCTACTTTAAATATATTTTCTAGTTTCATTTTTGATTTATCTTTTATCTACTAATGTATTTATAGATTATCTATTAGATATCAGTCGAAAATTTTATTAGCCATGTTTTTTATATAGACTTTTAAACCATTTTTGTGAAGACTTAAGGAGAAGAGTCGAATATCGGAACAAAGCAAGGATTGTCTCTTTGTATAAACTATATAACAGTCCAGTCCTCTGCCGACATATTGATCAGAGTGAGTGAGACGCATAGGAGGAGAGGACAATGAAAGGTCATAGGAACGACGTAAGGAAGGTGCAGGTGATACGTGAAGGTACACTCACACAGTAGTTGTTAAACTTATATAATCAGCTATATAATTTTCGATAATAGAAGTCTAATGTGAAGTATGAAAGCAATGCAAGTAAATCATTCTCCAATGCTGCCAGTGCTGGCAATAGAGCAAAAATTTTCATGAATTTTGGCGAAAATCGAAGGTTCTAAAGTTGTTGTGTTGCGGAGATATTCAATTTGTACGAAAAGTCCCAAAAAACTAATATTCTGCCATCTTGAAAAATTGTCAACTTAAACTACGTGTAACTTCGTAATGATATATAACTTACGTATAACTTAACCTTTGCACATGCTTGACAAACTTGGTAATTTGCACATTAAGTTTAGTATTATGTACACTTTTTGAATGAATCTTTCACAGAAAAGGCATTTTCCCTCCCATACCTCCCGAAAAAACTGCATTTTTTCAAAAGTTAAAGCTCCGTAACTTAATAAGGGGATGAGCTAGAAAGATGAAATTTGGTGTGTAAGTAGAACACTGCAAGAAGAGTGAAATAAAAAAAAAGTGTTAAAATCGGTTCATAGGAACAGGAGTTATAGGTGAAATACTGCCAGCATCAATTCTACAAAAAGTTGCATTTCACTTCAATAATGATTTGGTCTGAACGTTCCCGCGTAAGTTATATGTCATTACGAAGTTACACGTAGTTTAAGTTGACAATTGATGTTGGCATATTCTAGATCTCTAGGCGTCTCGTTACTCAAACATTATAAGAAAAACAAAATGCAAAAAAAATCGTTACGGAATTTTACTCCGGTAGCAGAGATGGCTGGCCAGAGCGTTAACTTATTTTTATGTAGTTTGGCTCTAGTTTCAAAAGATATCGTCTCACCTACATACAAATCGCCGCATTCACACGGTAAACCATATATTGGGCATACTCCTGCTTTCTTAATTACAATTAATTAAAATGCAAAAAAATCGTTACGGAATTTCACTCTGGTAGCAGAGATGGCTGGCCAGAGCGTTAAAGAAGTTTGATATTGATAGATTAGAATTAGTGCAGCATGTTAGTAAAAATGCAGGTTGTTCAATTAAATTTAACGGGGATATTATTTTCGACAACGAAAGTAATGTTTATGGACGAAGGAAATTAGAGAGCGTGTAGTCAGTTGTGAATTTGTCGTATAATAGACGTACAAAGATCAGTTCACAATGGACATCCACGATTAAAAATTGGTTAAAACCTAGATCAGGTAAAATTTTCTATCCAGATATAAAGTAAGTTATAGCACAATTGAACATATAGAGGGTAGTAAAGATAATGTAGTTGATCGCATACGTCACAATACACAGCATAATCTTCGGAAAAAGCCAACATACAAAAAACAATTTAACATAGGTAAACCACATACTACATTTTATAAGTTGTTAGTAGTTTTACTTCTCAACTATCCAGTATTCCTTGTTAAAGAACACGTTTATCTTATCTAAAGATCCCACTCATTTTTCTGTATATTTTTTTGCCTCGATATGTTTAGCGTCCTTATCGTCTCTTTCTTACTCTGCAACCTATAAACATTAGGTGCAAGCAATTCGGAATGTGTATGTCCCAATGCAAACAATTGGGTTACAATATGTAGCAAACAATTTTCTACAAATTGGTATACTTGTTCAATGTTTACCAGCTCGTCTTCACTCTTTTAGACACGCGTTTTAGATAGCCCCAAAATCGATTTTGGGAGCTGTTCATACAACAGTTGTATTTTCATAGCGAATCAACGTTCAGAGCCGAGACAATTTTCATTTTGTAGAGAAATGTTTAATCGACTTAATTATCTAGTTGCCATTTTAGATTAGTTTGTAGCTTTATTGCAATAACTTTTTGAAAAAGAGCAAAAAATGAAGGCCGTTAGGTGGACAAGCCGTCAAGTAGAAAGGAAAAAAAATATACAGGGTGGGCCAGATAATTTTGCAAGACTTTCGTTGATCTTTATCCCACAATCATAAAAGATAAATCAAAAGATTTTTCCACAATGAGGCAGAAATGGATTTGGAACAAAATAAAAAGTTTATTCAAATCGGCCACCTTTATGCTTCACAACCAATGCTAAACGTCTTCGCCAAGAATCGATCGCAGCACGCACCGAATCCATATCTAAACGATCCCATTCTTGAATTAATTTTCGCTTTAGAGACTCAATGCTGCGATGTGGCTTCGCATTAACAACCGATTCCAAAGTTCCCCATATGCAGAAGTCCAACGGATTCAAAATCCGGCGACGACGGCGGCCATTCTTCAGAAGAGATAAAATCTGGACAATTCAATCGTAACCACGCTTGCGTCGTTTTCGCCTTGTGGGCAGGGGCTGAAAATTTCATCTTGGTAATAACGAGCAGTAATTTTAATCCCCTTATCGACGAATTTCAATGGAATTTTGCCATTGTGACTGATAGCTCCCCATATCATCACCGAACTTGATTTCTGGAAGCGTTGAACGGTTCTCAAATTTTCTGGTATATCTTCGATGGCCAAAGAATAAATTCTATCATTTTGAGCGTTCAATTTTGCTTCCACCACAAATAGCTTCTCATCCGAAAAGATGATCTTTTTCACGGATTCGTCATAGTGCCGTTTCAACAACGATTTCGATCTTCTGTGCCTTGCGTCTATTTGCTTCAAGGATAATCCATGTAACTTTCGTTTTTTGTAAGCTTTTAATCCAAGATCAATTTCCAATATTCGTCGCATCGATGTTCGCGATACATGCAGTTCCCGAGCCAGTTGCCTGCATGAGCGTTGAGGATTTCGTCGAATTCGCTCACGAACGTTTTTGATAACTTGTTTAGTACGTACTGTTCTCTCCCGCTTTTTTCGAGGACGGTTTTCGATAGAGCCAGTCTCTTTTATCCTTTTAATCGTATAATAAACAAATCGTTCTTTAATACCGGTTCGTTTCACTAATTTGATAATTTCACTAGCCGATTTCCAAAGGTTGAAATACTTTTGTACAGTTAATCAATTTTCTTTCACCTTGAATTGCTCAAAAACAAATAATGGTCAAGAAGTAATACTTATTACAGTAATAGTAGACATGTGCCTGTGCACAATAAACATAAAAGATCTTTTTGCTGAAACCCCATTTATGAGCGAATTCAAATGGAAAGTCCTGCAAAATTATCTGGCCCACCCTGTACAAACTAAAAGCCTCGTCGTTTCTACGCATTTCAGTGAGAGCGTTCTAATAAGGAGAAAAAAACAGCCGTTGCCATTCTATTTAAGTGAAATGTACTTATATAGAACAGAGACGGGTCATTTTGTGCAAGTAACAGCTCATTACTAAGCGCAGGTTAGTTCTCCTGCACCATAGCTAGAGAGTTGAATGAGTGGAACATTTCTAGTAGCAAAAATTTTTCTTAATCTTGAAGTCAGGGGTGTAGCTCAGTCCTTAGGAGAGAATAGAGAAAATTATATCACTATTACATTCTAGTTATTGAAAAAAGTTTGTTCATCTAACATATAATATGAAAATTCTTAAGAAACTTTTATTTTTTGTCATCGAAATAATGGTGTTGTTTCAATTTTGCATTATCATCACCCTTGCATCGTTCGGAAACCATTCTTTGCTCGGTATATTGTGCAGTTCGTTATAAATATTATGCCATTTTGATCTTTTGCCATTCGATATGCTTCTCATGCCGACCGATTCTTGGTATCGTGTTCACCACCAAACGATCTGAAATAGTTGGGTAGCTCTAAAAGAATCTCTATTTTAATAAATCAATTTGTAACTCCCTAAGCAGAAATGAGTAAGCAAGAAAATCTAGCTGAAAAAATAGTTTAAGCGCCAGCTTAAGAGTAGATTTTTGAGGTAAATAACAAGTTGCAATCGGGTTAGCGCCCACTGTTAGCTATAAGCGGCCGATACAATGGTCACTTAATTGGCCGATTAATGCCCGGTTGATCGACATTAGTTAGCTGCAGCCGTTTGAATCTGCCCTTAAGACTGGCTGCACCGAGTTAAAAATTGGGTTAGCTATTTCATGATTTTTTTTCGTGCATGGGACGCTCTGTTATTATTACCGCTGTTATTGTTATTTCCGCTTCCGTCTGGCCCTCCTCCGCCGGAATTATTTTCTCTACTTTGTAACATATTCTGAGCATTGTATTGCTGAACTTGTATATTGACTCTATTCACTGGACCGTCTCTTAATGCAGCTTGCAAGTTGATACCACCATAAACTTTTACAAAACTATGCTCTCTGGTGCAAAATACAGTTGGTACCCATGAACGTTCACCAGCAGGATTATTCAACATAACTTGCGTCTCTTTATCGGGATTAACACCCATGCAAACGGTCGTTTTCAAAATTTTTGAATGTCTTTCTCGTTCGTAATTAGTAAGCGCGCGATGAAGTAGGCAGGTGATACTCTGTCATTCTGTGCTAACCAGCTTGTCATATTCCAGACTGCCATTAAATTGTCACTTGGAATGTCATAGCTTGTATTAATCAGTTTTGCTACTTCGTTCAAAGTCGTCTGATCTGCGTCGTTTAATTGAGATCTGATCTTCGTCTTCATTTCATTCATCTGAGCGTAAGCCACAGCTGAATAAGCACACATTTTTACATTAAAAACTCACGAGGGAACGTCTCAAAGTGATAAAACGGTTTTTGATCAAAATCTAGTGGGTTATACGTTATCGGTCATGCTGATTCCAAATATTATTATGGGGGTTGCCCTAAGTCGTTCGAAGATCCGTTTTTCTGGAAAACCAGTTTTTCAGGTTTTGCTTATTTTTCACCTCTTATAATAACCAAAACTTTTCTTAGCAAGTCAAAATTGTAGCCCGCAAATCTCTGATTGACATGAGACGTCTCACAGCTCTACACGACCTTTCTTTGAAAAGTTATAGAATTTACAAGGAAAGCCCTAAATTAATTTTTTCCTACTTATTTCTGTAGCTTTGAACTGACAATGAATATTTGCTTGCAAATTCTACAACTTTGCAAAAAAAAGGTCATGTAGAGCTGGGAGATACTTGATTTCAATCAGAAATTTGTGGACTACAATCATGACCCATTAAGAAAGGTTTTGGTTATTTTTTAGAATTTCTGAAGAACTGGTTTTCCAGAAAACCGGATCTTCGAACGACTAAGGCCAACCCCCATAATCATATTCAGAATCAGCATGGTCAATAACCTATAACCCACTAGATTTCGATCAAAAAGCGTTCTATCACCTCGAGAAGTTCCCTCATCAGCACTAACTGAGGGGGGCTTACTCAGTTAGAAAACTTGAATTAAGTCATTTCAAGCCGTCAGATTTCCTTTTTTAAACCTCCTTTTTTCGAATTTACCTTTATCCATATGGACTAACCGTAGAACTAAAAGAATTCAAGAGAATTCGAGATTTACAGGCTCTCGGGCTCTGCAGACATTTTCTTGGTCATAATTTCAGTCAGTTTTTTACGAATTCGTAAAAATAACGGCGAATTCAGGTGAGAACTATGCGGACCGATGCGAATCTATCTATTTCTAATCTCACCGAAATGCTTCTTGTCCTTGACATCAATTCGTACTTTATGAATTCGTAAAAATAACGGCGAATTGATATGAGAAGTATGCGAACCGAAGATTCTTTCGTGACCTAACGCCGGTGACATGTATGGATTTCTCTTCACCTCTACAACATAATTTATACACGTAAGAAGAGAGAGGGCGACTACTTGATTAAAACCCATAGAAAATGATAAGAACAGCAAACATAAAAAAACCCAGATAAAGACAGATATACGTCGGCGTCTTCTTTTACGGGTATTTTTGTATTTCTTTTATATTTGCTTCTGCAAATAGAGATTGATGGAAAAACATGATAAGTTGTTCTTTCGTTGTTTTATTAAAAGGTATCGAGGTTTATGAAAATACAGAGCTCTTCGGATTTGTACTCGGAACATTCAGAGATGTTCTAGATGCACGAAAGTATCGAAAGTTATCGGTTTAAATAAAAATATTAAAAATATATTAATTTTTGAAACGTTGGAATAAATAAATATTCAATAACTTTATATAAAGCTGCTGTAAAAATCTCACTTCTACCTCGTTTATTATCCATTAATAACTCAAAAAGATAATTTTATCTAATGACTCGTAACACAGACGCATATGCTTCATTCTGATAAACGACATTTAACAGCTTTATGATGAATCGCAATCGATGTCATGCGTCTAGAAAAGTTCATTGCAGCTTTTCATCAGAGTGTACCTAGCTGATAACTTGTCAATATTCGTTCCGGTTCGTCTTGTAAACAGTAAACTGTTCCCGTCCCCTATATTAGAAGTCAATGAGGCTTCTAAACCGACCAAACGTTCAAAACTTGTAGTGAGCTTCTATTATGTCGTCCTATTTTTCAATAGATTTCAGGTACGCGATTCTAATGTGGGAGGGGCTTCTGTTGTGAGGAGGGATTCAATCTGACTACCTGCTTCTTGTGGAATCGTATGATGAATATTTGTTTCGCTTCAGCTCTATTAGAAGCATATTTACAAACTGCCATGTGCTGTGTTTGAAGAAAAATAACCGCAAGAAAGCGAGAACAAAACGACATAAAAACAACACACGGTTGAGATTTGGTTTTTCTCTTTTACTGATAAAGTTCAGTGAGAGTATTATGTTAATCCTTCTTTTATTGTAACATGATTTCCTTTTTTGAAGAGAACAGGACAATCTTAATTTTCGATTTTGATTTTTCTTCTCCAGGCAGACATTGATGACGGCGAATTTTAATTTTTCTTTAATTACTTCATTTTCTTCCCTATGGTTTATACACATATTCCGGTGAAGGCGGCGAAAGTCAGGGATCACAGTTCGCTAAAAGCCTCAATACTGCTTTCAATTTCAAATGCTAGTTGAACAAAATACATTTTAAACCGATAACTTTCAATACTTTCGTGTATCTAGAACATCTCTGAATGTTCCAAGTACAAATCCGAAGAGCTCTATATTTTCATAAACCTCGATACCTTTTAATAAAACAACGAAAGAACAATTTATCATGTTTTTCCATCAATCTCTATTTGCAGAAGCAAATATAAAAGAAATATAAAAATACCCATAAAAGAAGACGCCGACGTACATCTGTCTTTTATCTTGGGTTTTTTAAGTTTGCTGTTCTTATCATTTTCTATGGGTTTTAATCAAGTAGTCCTCCCTCATCTTACGTATATAAATTATGTTGTAGAGATGAATAGAAATCACATAAGACAAGTGTTTCTGAAAAACGTAACCTTGATTTTCAATGCTGTTTGTCAATTTTGCTGTTTTTTCTACACGTCGACATCGATGGCAATTTTTTTTTCGTCTTTACATTCGCTCTATCATGGTTTTAGGAACTCGTTTCAATGTGTCAACGTTACACGGATTCAGTTACTAAGATGGTGAGGAATAACATCGAGCAATTGGCACAACACGAGATAATCTGCATTTTGGTTATTCTGTTGAGTATAATTTATTATTCAGTTCTTTGATTTTGATCTTTAAAGCGACGTGGTCAATTGTATTTCATGCAGAGAAATCGTAAAAATACCACAAGTCGCTTCTGTAATTTAAAAGGTCGACATGAACGAGAATACCTTAAGCATAGGAGAACCGCGACGATCACCACGTCAAACGGTTTTCTGTTCGATTTATTTTTGTCTATTTCAGATAACAAACTTGAGACTGTATTGTTGAATAAATGTCTTCAATTTAGATCGTTCACACGGCAAGTATTGCGAAGATAATGTTCGATAGAACAGAGAACATCGAGTTTATGTTCTGAAAAAAAATCGATTTTTATGATCGATACCAAGTGATTCTCACTGGTTTATACATACTGCTAAGGGTTAAAATAGTCGTTATCGAGGAAACGGGAATCCAAAGATCATTATTTAGGTGATGCAAGAGAACTAAACGAAAATTTCTTATCATTTCAAACAGTACAATTGTTAAAAGATTCACATATAGAGAACTCACATTCTAATTATCAATGCCAGCTTATCTTTGATTTCTTGCTTTGTTTGATTGAAGAAATGGAAGCTGAAACAATGCTTAGTGACAATGGTCAAACTAGGTATAATGTGCTCAAAAATCCGCACTCACCAAAAGGATCGTGAGTATTACTCCCAAGGAAAAAATCTTGACTGCAGATCTTGATAAAAACTTGAAAGATTTCGGAAGTTTCTGTTCAGTTCTTTCAAGATCTTATGCAGATTTATCGATATCTGTCAAGATTCTGAGATAATCTTGCAGTTCAAGATTGTCGACAA